GGGCATTGGCGCTTTCTTGCTGAAAGGAGAGGAAGCTCAGGCACTAAGGCAGAGTAGCCGCGAAGCAAGTGATATTCCTAGTCCTGAGGAAAAGCCAGCAAAGAAACGTCGGACAGAGGGAGGGGCGATTCATCGCTTTTTCGCACGCAACGTTTCTACTGACGAAGAAGTGCCGTCCGACGGTGCATCCGCGAAGAACGATATCAAATCCCGAGAAGAGACTGCGTCAGGTGAGTCTTCCACGGCTGTTCCAGATGCGGCTTTGGCGCACGAGGAAGGCAACGGTGGCTTCCATCAGGTGCCAATCACGGCCTTCGTGTGCTCGCGGTGCAACACGGGGTTTGAAACGCCCGAAGAGCACCAAAGCCACGAGGATTGGCATTTCGCCAAAGATCTACAAGACCAAGAACGTGGCAAGCCCACACTTGCTCAGCACTCATCTGCCACCCGCAGCTCCGGCCCAAAGACTTCAGGAACTTCGGCCAAGCGGGGGGGCCGCGGCGGCAAGCTCGAGCATGGACAGAGCAGACTGAAGTTTGGATGAATCCTGGTGATATGCCTGTCTTTGCCAGCATCACGCCAAAAGTTTGTCGAGCGGGTCCTGCCGCCTGATACGCAACGAGACTTGGAAGTTGGTAAACTTTGACGCCCTGAGACCTGGTCCAAGGGTCACCGCAGCACAGGAGATTGACGGCAAAGCCCCGACAAACCTGAGGAATCACCATTGATGGGCGTTTTCTTTCCAAATTCAAGCTTCACCGAGCGAATTATGAGGCGCGTCTTACACAAGGGTACCCACAGGGCAGGGACGACATGGCCTCGGGGCCCGGTATGGCTGTCTGTTGTTGCCCAGTCGGGCACTTGGTAGTTGGTACAGCAATTTGGGAAGCAATCCTGTCTCACAGTAGACTCAGTCGCGGACCTGGGCGTTGCTTCCGGCCTTGCGCCGGGTTACAGTCTATCGGAGGATGTGGTTATATGAGACATGAGGACGGATCAACTTGGCGAACCACAACGGCCTGACGGGACAGGGACATACATGTGGTTGAGCGTCTCCGCAGGCGCAAGCGACGAGTTGGATGGCTACATGTGGATCGAAGCTACCCGCAAGTGTCGTCATTCCAATTCCCGCCTGCAGCCTTCCGCGACATATCCGGATCCTCACGGCCCACGGGATGAATCAATATTGGGAGCGTCAGGGGCAATAATGCCGGCGAGTAAGGCTTCGGAAACACGGTTCACGAAGACGAAAATGAGCTCTTGAATCAGAAAACGATATTCAATACGTTTGTGCTCTGGATGGAAGAGACCGTTGCACACCGGATCCCTGATCGAGGCCAGTTCCGTGATACTGTTGGATCGAGGTTCACGCATCGGTTTGGTTGCGTCTGGATTCATACAATCCGGATGACGTCTGCAAGTGATTGGTTGCTAATTAGGCATCTTTGGGCTAAGGTGGGTTGGGCCACATTTTTGGCGCGAGGCATTGATACCCAACGTTGCCAACCACCACCTGGCACCGGCGCACCGTTACCAAATTCCTGACTAGCAACGCTACTTTGTCTCCGTATCCGTATACTACTAACCACACAAATCATCATTTGCGGGAAAAAAGCACGCACTCGCCTTGTCTTGACCCGTGGACCATCGCGGACAGAATGGAGACTGGGAGGAAGAGAGACGGGGCATTCCCGGCAGTCGGAAGCGATAGGTCACCGCTTCGCAGCGATGCAAAGGGGCCACATCGCCGACCCCGAGTGGGTTCGCAGCAACGGCGAAGTCAATTTTTGAAGAGGACACCGCCAGCAACCGCCGGACGATCAAGAGACAGGGCAAGTAACGGCATGCTGCGCCGTCAAGTCGCGAATGGCCGGCAGTCGAGGGCATGGGTCCCAGGAAACGAACGTCCGTCGTCCCACGCTCCACAGCCACGGGATTCTCACAGAAATCGGCCGGGGGGGCGGGTGCCATGACTGTCACTGAGGACGTGCTTCGAATAACTAGTTTTTGCGCCCTCAAAAGCGCGCCGGCTGGTCGCCGTCTGAGGCTGGGATATCCCGTCCTAGTAGGGTACCAACAGCTCGGTCAGTCAGACTTGAGGAAATTGAAAGGGACTGAGGGGGGGGGGGGGGGAAGTCGAACCCCCAGGCTTTCATTATCTAACCCTTCTTGCCTCTAGCAAGCTGACATAGGTAAAGAGGTCATCAGGGGCTGGGGGTTGCCAAATGAAGTCTGCCAGAAAATGCAACTTTCGACAATGGCTCACACGCTTGGTATCCAAGCGCGCAGACTATACATGCACTTAACGACTGGTATATGCATTTGTCACTTACCTCTTTCCAGAAGAAATTAACCTTTGAAGCCTTCGAATATTTCCCAGCTTGTTCAACGGGGATCGACACGGATTGCAATGTCCAAGCGGTCTCCCGTAGCATCCTATCCGACTTTCCAAAGTTACACAAATACGATAGAGTACACACTTCTTCTTTAGCCTCGGCAACCAGACTGCCGCTCAAGCAAATGGCCTAGCGGATGTTGAAAAACGCCACTACGCCAAAGTAGTCAAACGCCCTCTCGATACATCCTTGACAAGGACAGCCCAAAACGCCCTGGAACGACGGTCTAGAAGGGACTACCCACGAGCCACATCTTCTCCAAACTACTTCATCCCAAGCTGATGAATGCACTTCAGCCTCAGCTACGCCAAATTCTCAAACAAGAATACTTGGGGTAGAAGGTCTAGATCCTTTTCGAACCCCCTATGAGGCACGCAACAGCACCGGACCTGGCGATGCCCGGACCTAGAGTAAGGGTTGGTATCAATAAAGGGGAACGGCAGATCTTAGACACAACAAGAACGACCACATGCCACGAGAATTTACTTTAAGCTGTTGCCAATCCTCTCGCATTTTCGGCTCAACAGCATCTCCCGCACGCAACTCTCTCGATTGGGCCTTGAAATGCCCTGTCGCATTGGACGAGTTTCGACCTTCTGGGGGGGCAGGAACAAATGATACGCGCACCATTGAGCCGAGCCCCCCGTGCGACGAAATAATTCGAGCCTGTTGTAACATGAAGGACAAACCTTCGCATTGGATCTCACCACAGCTCGCCATCATGCCGTCTGTCTCATCTCTACCCCTTTGGAGCTTGACACGACATTAAACCACATATAAGGAGCGCTTGGCTGCTGCATCTTCCAGGCTGGATAAATCGGTTACTGGTCAGCTTGAGAGCACGTACCAAGCCGGCTCGCCTCGGTTGCGTCTCGTTCGCCTTACGTGCGCCTATTTGTACAGGAATGGCGAGAAATGCAGGCAAAGGCAGGCCTCAACATTACAACGAATCCCAACTGTGTGTTTGGGTGCGAGTTATGATTGCGTCTGCGCCAACAGCCCTCGCATGTTTGCTTCTTCCCACAGGCACAAATACCATACCTGTCCAGACGTACTCACGCACGTCACCGTGGATGTCTGTTCGATGCTGTTCTAGTCATCGGGGCCACCCAAGTGGTGGTCGTGCTGCGCGCTAAAACGGAGCATCGAAGGCCCCGGACGGCACGTTTCCTGGGGCTGTCCTGGACCTGGACAGACGTGAGTAAGATTTTGTTCTTCATAGTGCGCGCACGACGCAGGGAAGTTCCTCGGTATCCCTTTTGGGCTGCGCGATCAGTCAACCCAACCTCCCAACCTCTCTCGAGCTGCAAACCTGCACCTCATCCCGTCTCCATCCACTCAGAGCGGCCGCCACCCATTCTTCCTTGCTGCCGCCCAACCGCTCTCCGCCTCTCTGTCAATGTCAATCTGTATCCGTACGGAGCATTTGTACCAGGTTTCTGCTTTTTTGCGTACCGTCCCGCCAGGTGGCTTTTACCGCCTCTGCTGGCTGGTCAGGTTTTCGTTGCGTATCCATCAGTACCGTGCGTACCTTGATTGAGGCTGGGAGGTAGGTACCAGCTTTAGATGTACAACTGGATACCTCTCATCCTCCCGCCGTCCGTCTTCCTCTCGGGAACTAGGCGGCGCAAGCTGGGCTAAGCAGGCTATCATCGCTTGGCCAGCAAGAGGCTAGACTTGGGCCACACCATAGGTAGACGCAACACAACCCACCCCAAGGCCCCCTCCTCGTGGACTAAGGGGATCCAGTGGCATATTGGCCAGGTTGCCAGGGTTTGGGTAGAGCGCGAGGGAAAATCCGCACGGGACTGTCAGCCAGCAACGTGGTGCCAGCAAGCCCTGTAGTTTCCTTGTCTGGTCGGTCCCGAGCAGGCTCGACCTGACAGGAAGAGGAGGAGGGAGAAGGCCTCCCATCCTATGTACCTCACCGTCTCACGGGGAATGGAAGAGAAAGATGGAAGGACAGAGAGTGTAAGCGATTGAGGCAGAGGATGTGTGTGTGTGTGTGTGGGTGTCGTGTGAGTACATAGTGTAGGTAGTCTAGGCTTAGGTTATTCGAAATGCCTACCTGAGGCTACCTTACCTCATGTTCAGGTTGCTGCCACCAACAACAGTAAAGTAAGGCAAGGTACAAGGGCAGTACTCCATACCAAGTACACATCACGCCTCAACGGCTCAGAACCGCAGTTAAAAGTGAGGACGAGGGGTGTTGGTGACCAGTCACAGGCGGGCCTCACTGACAACACTGGTCACTGGACGCAGAGCCCAGTGGTTGACTGGTCCACGTCGGTGACTTCACTTACCGCTGCCCGCTAGGTCCCGGTTTTTCCTACCAGAAGCCCCCACCCCCAAGAGAAGAGCCAGACTCTGGCCTGTTCCTTTTCTGTGCCCACCACCCACTCCCTGCCCGCTTTTGCCTTCCCATTCTTCCTCTTTTTCTTCCCGCCATCTCGACAATCCCATTTCTTGCTCTCCTCCCCTCCTCTTTCCCTTTTTTTCCCTTCTCTTACTCTCTCACCTACACGTTGCCTCGCCTCGCTCGACCCTTTCTCTCGACCGGTTACCCTCCTCCTACTCAGACCACACCCGCTTTCAACCGTCAACATGTCGAGATCCTCCCGTGGCCCCCCTCCGTCGGCTTCGTCTGCCCCTCAGAGCGGCCGCTCCAACGAGTACTTCGTTCCGAGAGATGGAATTGATCGCGAGGTCATCACCGCCGATATTTGCCGCTACCTCGGCAACGACGCCCTCGTGCGCCCGGGTCACTACGAGAACCCTCAGACCGGACAAGTCTCACAGGGTTACTACATCACCGCCTACCGAAACCTAACAACAGTGAGTGGCTTTAGTCCGCTGTCGTCGCGCTTCCTCGCACCAATATACTGATACAACGCCTCCGTAGGCCATGATCGACGACTTGAAGGCCGATTCTGCGCGATGGGAGGCAGAGAGGCGGCAGCAGGCCGCCCGGAACAGTTCAGGAGGTACATTTGCCTCAAGAGACGCGACGGCTCTTTTGTCGAGACGTTCTAACTCCCCTACAGCAGGGTACCGCCAGTCGGAGACTCACTCCGCACGCCAACACTATGGTCCCACGGATTCCACTGGCTACCCGGACGTAGGACGTGATTCCTATGAAAGCACCCCTAGATATCCAGGATCTCAAGCCCCAGGATACTCAGGGAACTCTGCCCAGGGCTACTCTGGATCTACCCCTTCCTACCAACAGCAGCCGTCTTCTTCTTACTCAAGTGGTGGGTATCCCTACTCTGGTCAGCCAGACCCTAGAGCCGACCCCAGGTACGCTGGACAGAGCCAAATGGGACAAGGATACGGTGAACCCCCGTACATTGCCACGGCCGCGAACATGGCGGCGCAACGAAACTACCCCGCCGACCCCTACGCAGGACAGCCCTCTCGGACGCCTACTTCGATGGCGCCTCCGCCAGGAGGGCCGGCTTACTCTTCCGGATCACAGGTTCCGGCAGGATATCCCACGGGTTACTACCCGCCTTCGACGTCAGCCTCGTACGGTTCCACGCCGGTGGCTTCTGATCCGATGTACGGACGCGGTGCGTATACAGCTTTGTACCCCAATCCAATTTCTTCGACCTAATCTGATTATGTAGCGTCCCCAGCAGGTGGTGTTGCTCACCCGTCTCTCTCTGGCCAAGGAGGATCACAGTATGATAAGCCCCCTGCACCCCGTGGTTCTGCTCCTCCATCGAGTTCCAAAGCTCAAACGACAAGTAGTGGATCATCGCACTCCCGCCGCAGCGAAAGGGATTCCGACAGGCATCACCAGTCCGACCGCCATCGCCCCCCTCGTCGCTAATACGTTACCTTCACTGGAATTTACTGTAGCCACTCCGACTGCACAGGACGCCCGTCCTGTGAGTCGCTGTCATGAACTTGATCCTAATGATCTCGGGTCTTGGACCCGTTTCCGGTGTCGGCTTCCTTATCATTTGTTTTTCCTGGATAGACCCTTTTTCCTGGATTCGAGGTGTGGTATCCACCTCGTGAGTTGCAAGTATGCATCTCGCACTCTCCGTTGTCTGGCTTTGCTGGCGTTTTGGCTCTGCGCGGCCTCGGAGCTTCCCTGGCTCTACATATATTCCTGGACCGTTACGTCTCGAGTTCTACTACATCCTGCCCGGATCTCACCTGGACTTGACCTGGATTTCACCAAGAATGGATTGTGCCGCGCATACCCCTGGACGTTTTACGACTGCATATATGGATGGGCTTACGATTTTTGCTATTCGATCAACCTTTTCTTTTCAGCAAGTATTACTTGCTACCACGTGTTTATGGCCCGGAACCCAGGAACGGAAAAGGACGTACTTTCTTGAACCGAGTCGACTTTGACGACTTGAACGTCTGGACCACTTTACTGTCTGGAGCCGTCCTGACGGTGGATGTAATGTCATTTTACTCTCTTCTCCTGGTCTGGGTTTCATTCTTCCTGCTTGGACTTTCGGAGTTCGGGGTCATCATGGTGTTTCGTTATAGAATGGGAGACGACGGCATCTGGACAGCAAGGTGAGTTCACGGATTGCACTTTTTGTTTTTTTGAACAACTTCGAAAGGATACACTTGCAACTTCCCTTACAAGGATCTGAGACACTCATGGTTGAGGACTCTCATTTACCTAACGTCACAGTCATCCAACCGGACTTGTTGCACCGCAAACCACTCACCACTGGAAAAAGACAAAACTGGCCATTTGCAAACCTGGATCTGCTTTCAAGCATTCGCACCGCACCAAGGACTTCATTCCATATTTTGGAGACTCCGGATCAAAGCTTCATGGACCAGCCTGTGGAAGTACCACCAATTGGACAGTGGCCGTGGACAAGAAAGGCCTTGACCCCCCACCGAGACTCCCAAACCCTTTTGGATCTCGTGTCAGCTCACTGAGCTCAAACAAGAAATTATTGGGAGGAGACATATCTCCAACGTGGGTGAGTTCTACATGGCCTGGCCTGGCCTGCCAACCATCTCGATATAATGGTCAAGACGTTCCATCCATTATGAGTGGCCTCCGCCGGTCAATATACCTTGGCACCAGACAACATCCGTTGCTTTTTGGATGCATGTTGCGATCATCACTGCAGCCTGCCATGGGACACGAGTCTGGCGGTTCATGTTACTACTACCCACTGTGACCTGAAAATGAGGCATGGCTGAGGTTCACTAGCGCCAGGCTAGGCACATGATACAAACGACTCAAACTACTTTTCTGGACTACTTTCCCTGGATTGCGGCTGCCCAGCCTCGTGGAATACTTCCTGGATCACGTGGAGCCTTCCTGGCAGCTCTTCCGGAATAGCTCGTTAGTCACCACTATTTCTATTCGTTCTGTGTTTCTATTCGCATCGTGGAACCATATCTATCCAAGCCCGGACATGGAACGTGGGAACTAACATGCTCGTCGCAGGCCACTTCGCAGGGAACAAGCACACAAAGTCATGGCCAGGATGGGTAGCAGTGGCTCGATCGAGCGGGTTTGATGTATTGCATATATTGGCGATTGTTTACGTTTGGACTCAGCCTCTTGGAAAGTTTTGGAGTCGTGGTGACATCTACCGGATTTATCCTGCGCGTTTTTTTATTGCTGTATTTGGCGTTTGGGCATATGGTAAACCGCGGTTATCGGCTATTGAATGATGACTAAGTTTCTGTAATGAATTGAACGTTTCTGGATTTTCTCGATGATCTCTTATTTCCACCTTGTTCATTTCCTCGTCATTCGTCACCTTGAAGACGCGTCTTGATACTCGACAGGTCGCATCTGGACAGTCTTGCCCAGCATCACCCCAGTCGTCTGAGATGTCACCCTGTCCACCTACCCTCCCTCAGCGTTGGAAGGTTCATCGCCGCTGCTGGCGAGATGTGGACCGCTCGTGTCGTGTGCGTGTTCTGAAGCTTAAGTTTGTCAGGCAACCAATCCACCCTGCCGGGACCGATTTGATTTCTCATTATCGGGGAAAAAAGGATTGGACGGCTCAGCGGATGGGGGAACCGATCCTGTTGATAGAGTTTGGATTGGGGATGGGGGTGATCCAGGTAGGGGGGGGTGGGGGGGGGGTTTGAGTGAGTACTTACCTAGATGGAGGGGTTTGGAGATGTGGTGGTTAGTGAGGTTGGCGTCAGGAGTTACCTGCGAAGAGAGATCTGGCGATGGATACTGGGTGAGTTACTTGGGAGTTTCTATGGGCATTCTTGGAGAATTTGTAGCTCCATCTGGAGACGCTGTTACTTGTGTTTGTCTACCCGTGTCGGGATATCTAACACTACATGCTCTAGCACTTCTTAGATGACGGAGGGTTTGGTTTGGGGGGACATGGAGTTTACGGATGTCCTGTAGGTGCCAGATGGATGAAGGACAGACTGAGGTTATGCTCAACACCATGAGGAGAGAGGATGCTGAACACCAAAACTGAGTTTCTCCTTTTGGAGTCGTTCATTGTTTTTTTGTTTAGTAGGTGGTGAGAATGAAGAATGACGAGAAAGCACATGCAAAGTTCTTGTCCGACCTGCCCATCCCCCACCCCTTCCCTAGAGGTCTGAACTTGATCCGATTCGTTGCCCAGCCAAGACTAATCGGATCGCAGAGTTGGTGTGTGTTTTTTTGCCACCGTCTCTTCTATGTCTCTCTCCCTTACTCCCCACATAATGATAGAGTTTTGTGTCTAGAGGAGAGCCCCATGTTCTCCATGTTGCTTGCTGAACTTGCTCATTTTCTTCGTCCCTTTTCAGGCTTGGTGGCTCCAGTGGAGATGCGGCACCATCCCTCTCTCTTGAATGTACGTTTGAGAGAAGGAGAGAGGAGAGGAGCATGGGATGAAATGCTCAGACGGAGTAGGGATGATGGTATGGGCTATCAAGATTATCGAGGCTTACGAGAGAGAGAGAGAGAGAGAGAGAGAGAGAGAGAGAGAGAGTGTGTGTGTGTGTGTGTGTGTTCAGGTCCTTGATTCTTGAGATTCAGAAGGAGGGAAATTAGTGTACTTGGGGCAATGATGAAGAGGTAATTTCGATCTTGACCCTGCCATCCTCATGTTCGTCTTTAGAGTGTGAGCCAGTTGCTTGCACACGCTTTCAGTGTGATTACAAAATGGGTCGGGTATGCTATATCGAGTATCTGGCACCTTAAGTCTTCAGCCTTAAAAGAGGGACATAAGGTAGGTAGAACGTAGAGATTGCTTTGGGGAAGTTGTTGAGGCTTCCTGCTGCTGGGGAGAGTACTCCTTCGGGTCTGACTTGGACGAGAAGGGGGGACCATTGGTGCTGACTTCCAATGACATCGATTCATGCCTAAGTGATGACGGGATGGATGGATGGAGGAGGTGTCTCTGGCATCGTACCTAGGGGTCTTGATGTTGGAAGTTTGAAAGCTCCCGCGATGGACCTTGTTTCTAGAGGCTTAGAAGGAAAAGGGGCTCAACGGGGAGGTTTTTTTGGGTTTTTGACTCTAGAGATGGACCTCAGATCTTGCGGGCAACAACTCAGAAGCGAGCTACCGACCCTGGGAACCGTCGCTCCATGAGAACTAATTTGTCATTGTCCTGTTCAAAGTACAGACCAGTCTGAAAGTAGCAGAGAGCAGGATTGGGATGGATAGAACGGCTTGTATACAAGATACAAGGCCTTAACTAAACAATTCGAGTAGTTGTTAGGCCATGAGGATAGAGAGTATTCTTGCTGGAGCGCAAGAGGAACGTATGTCTTTGATGTTGAGGTTTGATGGAGGCGGACTAGCTCCCCTAGACTCCGGCATTTTTGCGGGGCGCGTACCAAAAAGGACGGGATCGTGACCTTATCTCTACCTGCTACAACTTACCTTAGACGCGGTTGACGCGGGTAAACTAAACAGCAATTTCAGCACTTCTCGTACGCATAGTGTATAGGGCCAACGAGGCAAAGACGTGACAAAGAAAATTGAATCTGTAGAGTTTGCTGACTGGTAGTGAAAGACTAGAAAGGGGGGCTCCCTGAATACGGAAGGGACTCGAGCGATCGTGAAAAACGGGCAAGGTGAAGTGTCCCGTAGGTTTTTTGATGTGGAGCTTTGCCCGGCGATTGCGCTCCGGTGAAGTGGAAACTCGGCCCACACCGAGGACGGGGTGACCAAGCCAGTTGACACGGGGATCGATATGGAGGGGTCAAGAACGGCCCCTGGAAATTTTTCTGTAAATCAGGACTGAAAATCTTGAGGTTGTTGCTCATCATGGTTAGGGACAAGTATAGCGGAAGCCTGGAAATATGAGGGATGTCTGGGAGCGCTCTACCTACCTTACACTATCTGCGATTCCAAGTTGTGTGAAATTGAAATAGGCTAGGTTAGCAGGAACGATGAGGTGGATGGGATGGAGGGGGAGGGGGAAGGAGGGATGAGGAGGGGTCTGGAAGGCGCCGACCTACCCTTTGGGTTGACAGGCACGACAGGCACGACAGGCACCGTGGGACGGGCGGTGAAGGAGAAAAAACAGAAGGTGCAGGGGGGGGGGCACTCTGTCGGTAGTGGAGACCCCGACGATGGCCGGGGCAAAGGTGAACCAATGATAGTGTAGAATTGACGCCTTGGGCTGCCCTGATGCCATACCGCTT